AAATATAAGTTGATGTTTTGGTACCTGACCGCCTGTTTAGCTATCGTTACAATAGTCACCAAAGTGTCATTAAACGTTTTCGGATCTCTTGAACAGCTAAAAGGAAAAAAATTGATTCGACGACTTATTACAAGGTTTATAATGCCAAGTGTGCTAGTCTTGTGGAGTTTAAAAAGCAATTTCTTTTCTCTTTTTAATTCTACAGTGAAGCGGATCATGACATCGCATCTTTAGCCAAGGATTGGGCATGTCCTGTTTTGAGCGACGACAGCGATTTCTTCATCTTTGATGTCAAGGGCGGCTTCATTCCACTTTCCTCTTTCGATGTTGATCAGTCAACAGCGCGTATTTTCTACCGCAGTGACGTGGCAAGATATTTTGGAATACGTGAAGAATTGCTCCCTTTGCTTGCTTCCTTACTGGGTAATGATTACGTGAGTCGGGAAGCGTTAAAGCCCTTCAACCACACAATTTGCAATTTTCCCAGTGATGGTCTTAGTGGAAAGGAAGTGAGGTTTTCAGGTGTCAAATATTTCCTCTCCCAGCTCCCTAATTCAATCTCAGAAACACAAGCGTTCGAGTGCGTTTTGGGATCGATAGAATCGAGTGAAAGTAGGGAGCGGCTTGAGAAAGCTATCGAGTATTCCCTTCAAGAATACGCAATTACGAAGTCCAATTTATTGGATTACCTCCGAAATGGAGTGGTCTGTAGTCTTCTAAGAACCCAAAGTAATCTCGAACTTGACGAAGAGGTGTTGCGCAGGTTTCGCGAAGGAAAGTTTTCTACCGATTGTATGAGCAGCTTAACGGCGGGAAAAGTATTTCTCAGAGTTCAGGTCGAGGACTGTGAGAGAAGATCATCAAATCAGTGTTCAATGGCACTGAGACAGCTGATGTATGGCATTTTGAGCGATGGAGGAAGAAACATGAAGAGGATCGAGGAATGGGACAGAGAGGGCTTTGCACTCATGAACACAGATATTAAGCCTTACAATGATAAGATCCCTTCGATCAGTTCTATACTAATCGATCCTCACGGGAGATTAACGATGTTCTTGGATGCGCTAGATTCAGACTCGGCTTATATAAAATCATTACCAAAAGAGCTCGCGTTAGTCGCATCATCTCTTCGTTTTCTTCATCGTAACTCGCAACCGCCACTGGAGAATAGTCATCTGCACGCTCTACTCTGTAGTTGTGTCAAACTAGGGGATGGTTCGTGGAAACATTATCTAGAACATCCAACAAGAGCTTTCTCCCAACCCTTTGATGAGAGAGCAGCGCAAAGCTTTTGTCAGTGGCAGTGTGTCTTGAGAGATGCCATTCATCTCAACTTTGTTTTGCTTGAGCCAGTGCAGACACCATGTATCCGCAAAATTTTCAATGGAAAACTGGTGCATTGCCTCCAGAGGGAATTGACAACAGGTAATAACAAGTTTAACACATTTCTTCCAATTTTTCTTCATTTTTAAATCTTTTTTTCGTATGACGAAACGGCTAAAGCTCCAGAAGAAACGATAACATGTGGCAAACGTTTCTAGCACAACGTCATGCAAAATGAACGTGTCCTTTGTTGAGTAGTTTTGCCTTTCCGTTGCATTTATTTCTTGTGGAAAGGGAACATGTGAATTTACTCCCCTAGATGATTGGGGCGAAAGTCACTGCAGGGATTTGTGTTTTGAAAAAATTTTCAACAGGAAAGCCTATATCTTTTCATTAACGTTGAGCTTATCGTGGTGTTGCAAGAAGGTTTATTTTGAAAACTATTAACACAGAAAAAAGGTTAAAATGATTATTTTGCCCCTCTCTTTCAGGCAGTAAGCCAGAATCCTTGATGTCTCCAAGCTCTCTTGCTCGGTATCAAGAGCTTTGCACAGCAATTACTGTCGACCAGGAGGAAAAAGGTAGTGAACACAATTTTTCAATATAGTTTCCTGGAAGGATCATTAGTATATTCTCATTCTCACAGTTCGCTTAAAAAAAATTTTTCAATTTTTTTCATGTGCTCTCGCAATCTTGAAACAATCGGATCGGATGCCATTTTTGGTCCGGATTGCGAACGCTCGGTTTGTAGATATTGTAATCCTTTACTTGATGTTCTTTAATGAATTCAGTCTCCACTTTCCACTGTAAGTAAGTACATCAACCGTTCCCTTTGTAGACGATGGGCCAATCTGCTTGTTAGTTTAAATTTTTTTCCAAAAAAAAAAAGTCGACTGATGAGCCATCAAACTGCTCAGCCTCTCACTGATATACCTTAGACACTCTTAAAAATAGCCATTGTTCCATAAACACAATCTGAATAATGATAAATATTTTTCCATCTTTATTCGGATTTCTTTTATTTTCATTACCATATTTTTTATTCACAAGTAACAAGAAAAAAAACTAGAGTTAAAACCATACCTAGATTTTATAAAATGTTTTAAACTATATTTCTATTTTTTCACGAGTCAGGTATAGATCCTCAGTCCTATCCTCATATGCCAGAGGAAATACGAAGCTTTATTCACTTCTTCCATAAGCATGTCACTGACCAGGTTAGCATGTATTTGAATTGATATGATTTTATCCTTATATGGTTATCTGCTTGTTTGGTAATAAAACCATGCAAATTACAGTTCCATTTTTCTAAGGTCACTCAACCCTTCAACTTCTTTAAGTGACCAATAATTTTTCCTTAGTATTATTGCTCCAGTGATTAATGAGATGCACACGCTCTGATTGGTCAAGGATTGCATCATATCTCGTTATAATCACCTTGAACAAGGTGATTATCGTATTTCAAACTTGGTTTCCTTGTAGTTTGTCATTATTCATCAGGAAGTGATAAACGTGATAGAACAAAACAGAATTTAATAAACACTAAAGATGCTACTAAGCTTGGTGTGAAACTTTTCAAAAGGAAAAAATGTTTTTGCTGATTGAATGAAATAAACCTGTCAAATTCTAGTGGAAACTGGTTGCTTATCTTGATACGAGTAATCAAAACAATTGTAACAGATTGTTATAAACAATTAAAAAAAGAATTTACAACAAAATTCAAAAGCACCTGAGCGATTGTACTAAAACAATTATTCCCCTCTGGTTCGGTGAATATTGTTGAATAGTCTGCTCCTCTTCATCTTAAGGATTTTGCAACAATATTCACCTCACCTTCAGAGAGTAATTGTTAGCTACAATATCAATGCATGTACAGTATCAAGCAGACAGTTGATGGGAATGAGGAAAAATATCAGTTAGGGGATTATTTATTTGATCCAATACCAAATTTTACAAAGTAATATCATAAGAACTACATACATTAAAAACCTGTATATAAGAACCTACAATTTTAAGAACCTGTAAGGCTAAAATTTTCCAGTTAAGTATCCCACGTATAAGCACCATTCTAGGCTAGATTCTTAATACAGGTTCTTATTTTTAGAACGTGGAATTTGTTTTAATTTGATATACTACATCCCATGCGATACAAAAAGGTAGCTGTAGTACCATATATAACATATCCAAATGTGTGTACAAGTTAACCATGTAAAGCAGGGCACTATGAGGCTGGCATACAGCCCATTTTTTTTTTTTTTAACAAATTATGAATGGGATTATGAACCTAACCCATCTCCCGACCGTAAGTACCAAAATTTAGAGGTAAATTTAGTACCTATTTCTTATATCCTTGTTTCTACACAAAATAGCTCCTTTTATTATATCTTCCAGAATCTCTCTGGCATTCAGTCCATCTATGAAAAGAAGTAAGTTCATTACGGTGTAGAACACATGTTGATGCAAATTAGTGTTGTACTCCAGACTTTACTTTTTGTGACAAGAAGTATTTGAGTTTTCTAAACATATCTTTTGCCTTCTTTGATCCAGGTTCAACAAATTGACTAAGAGATATTTTGAAAAATCTCCTTGGCCTGAACCTGAATATGTTGCAAGCCTTGTGGATGGAGGTGTGTTCTAACCCTTTCCACCCTTACATCAGTATTCAAATTCTCCATACTGTTCTCTGTACATTTACTAAGTTGCTGACAAGGAGAATTTGTCTAACAATCAGGAGTTCCTTTAGTTGGTGATCATTTCCTTTATTCTCATGGCGTTAATATGTAATTCAGTGATGATGAGTAAAGAAAATTAGATGCTAGTTACTCTTAGGGGTAAAGGGTTAAAGAATAAGGAAATGCATCTTTATTGACTGAAGTGCTGTATGTCTTTCTGCCTGTCCTGATATTTAAATGATTGAATAATTCCATGAGCAACCAACTAACAAACTGACTGAACCATGGATTGTCTCTAGTACATGTCAGGTTGCTGCTAACTGTTGTACTTCTCTGCACTCATTCGAGTTGTTTGAAGGACTAAGTGAGTTAATTCTTGGTTCCTTCAAGAATTAACTCACCTAGTTAATAGGACAGTTACCTTTTTGAAGCAGGGTATTGATCTATGGTAGTGTTGCCTTAGTTGTCTCCCCAAGTGAGTCAGTGAATTTTCTTGCTGTATATAGGTGTAACCCACACTCATGTCCAGAAATACACGCACAAAAATGGCAGATTTGACATATTTTTGTCAAACCAAGTGAATGTTTGTGGATTTTTTGATTTTGGTGAATTTTAGTCAAATTTGTCAAAGAAAAATTGGCTTGGCAGGATTGATGATTTTATGAATTTTAGTCAAATTCATCAAAGCCAAATCAGCTTGGCAGATTTGAACATTTTGATGAATTTTCACTACTTTTCATTACTGCATGCATTCCTGGACATATCTAGTGACCCATTACCAGCACCTTACCCTTCTTGACTATCTACCTCTTGATTTGAAGTGGTTTATAAATTAAATAATGATGTTTTATTTCTTTTAGACCAAGTGTTTTTGATCCTTTACAAGGAGCTGTACTATAGACACATCTACAACAAGCTCAAGGTAAGGCTATTAACCCATTTACTCCCAGGATCTGATTGTTAGCTGGAACACATTTCCTTGTAAACTAGTTGTGAGAACATATTGTTAGATCAAGATAACAACTTCTACCTGGTAAGTTTAAGTATTCTCATTAACTGTCTGCTGGATTATGTGAGGATATTACTGGGAGAAGTTCTATGTTGATCACTTCTGGGAGTTAAAGGGTTTAAACAGAAATGATATTTTTAATTAAGCATACAAATTAGGGATTTGTTGATATTCTTCTACCCTTTAAAAATTATTTGACTGTGAAACTAATTTGATTAAATGCAAAAAGGTGTAAGTGGATATTAAGGCAATAATTTGAAACCTGACATAACAGTTGATTGTGAAGTGTTATCATTGGGTTGAAAGTACTTGACCATGAAAATGACTTTTTTTCAACAAAACTCCTTTGAAAGACTCCCCTCATCTAGAATGTTACTCTTCTCAATCAAACATTTGTTAGCTATGTAGGAATGATAAAAGTTAACACCATTCTGTAATATTTTTCTATCTTTGTATGTATTCAGCCAACACTGGAACATCACTTTGAATCTTATTTCAACTACTGTGATCTTTTCAACTACATTTTGAGTAAGTTTAGAATTTTGTTTTTTGTATATCTAAATTTCCAATTTTGATTAAAAAAAATATTACCACTTAACACAAAGATAGAAACACTCATCAAAATATCCATTATCTTGTAGACACAGATGAACCAGTACCTCTCAGCTTGCCCGATCAGTGGTTGTGGGATATTATTGATGAATTTATTTACCAGGTTAGAAGCTTTCCTCTAGAGAGAAAATTCCTCTTACTGATCAAGTGTGAGGTCCATAGTGTAACTTAGGGGCCAAATTTTTCGGCTCAGATTTTATGGCCCAAGCACAATTGCACAAGAATTTCTGTATTCTTATCACCTTTTTGCTCCATAATGTAATCAAAGGAAGAGGAGAAATTTCAGTACCTGTTCATCACATCTGGAAGTTAAACGAACAGTGCTTACTGCCAGCAGATGTCTACAAGAATTGGTTGCTTTTGAAACATTCAGTATAGTTAACTTTACTTAATGAATGTGTAATTAATCATGATTAATTTGAGTACACTAGATCCTAAGGAATTTGATTGATTATTGCACGTAAAACATTTTCAGTTCCAAGCATTCAGCCAGTACCGATCAAAGTTGTTGAAAAAGGGAAAAGACGAAGTTGAAATTTTAAGAGAAAATACAAAGGTATGCTAAGTAAAAGAATATGTGTAGAGAAATACAGTCATGTAAATATTGTAGGATTCAGTAGAGGCACTTTGATAAGATGTTGTTTCATCCCAGACTGTCTATTGATTAAACTGGAAGTTAGTGTGCTTGTTTTGGGAAGGGTGGAAATCTGGAGAAACAAGGGCATGGACACTATGATCCACAAGTATTTTGTGCTTAGTCTGAAGCTTGATTAGGGCAAATGTATTGTTTTCAAGAGACTATTTTTAATGGTAATAGGACTGAGAAGATTCCATTTAATCAAATCTATGACAGAATCTGAGAGAAAAATCGGTTTTAAGTTTTCATTAAATGAGCAAAAGTTAATTAAGTCAGCAAAATACATGATGAGTGCATGCACATGATGCATACTGTCCAATAACACAGGCATGCATGATGTGTACACTGTCCAACATACAAGCACGATCTCACAGTGTCCTATCCAATCATGTTTGAGAATTTGTCATAGTTTTGATTAGCTGATTAATCAATACAGGAAGGGCTTTGAATATTGAAAATGATTTTCTCCACTAGGGAGAAGATAGTACAATGATGATGAAAAATACTGCAATTATGCCAAATTGCCATTTAATCATGTCATTTATCCTGATCTTTAGGAGGATCTTATCTTTCAGATTTGGAATGTTCACAGTGTGCTCAATGTGTTGTATTCTTTGGTGGAGAAATCCAAGATTAATCACCAGGTTGGTAGCTACAAAGTATTTATAATAAATTTCTGAGCAATCTAATTGCAGTGATTTCCATTTTTGGAGTTCATTTTGTTTTACTGCAGACAAGACAAATACATCTAGTTTGGACATGCAATGGAGGTGAATGAGAATGTTTCTTTACACGGTTTCTTATTTCGGGATATGGTTAAAAAAAAGAATTCAATATGACCATCATAAGATCCTTGTTTTATCAGATGTCAACTTGCCCTTCCATTTACTAACTCAGGTTTCAACATTAGGAATAAGTTGTTTAAATTTGGATCACCAATTAGTCTGGCAAACTACATGCAAAAATGCTCTTTAGCCCTGGGGCACTTCTACTTTAACCTCTTCTCAATTTTTTTGATATCAAAAATTCTTGCAAACTGATTCCCATAAATTTTGAATACAACTGTATACATCAAGATATTTCTATTCAAATGCAAACTCCACAGCTTTGGGGTTTCAGTTTCTTTACTTGTATGGAGGTTCTTTTTTCTTTGTGACATGCATCCTACAAAATGACTGACATGGACTTGCGTGTTGCTTAGAGTTAATTATATCTAACTCTGTACTTGAGCCAAATGGCTCTTCCAGTCAGAGTTTATCCCAGTGTGCTTAACATGAAGCTGCAAGGAGTATCACTACGCACCACTGGATAGGATGTTAGTCCATCAAAAGGTCACCCCCCCTTCCCCTCCTACCAATTTATCAGGCTTCCCTGGTATTTTTTTCAGTACACATTTCTACTCCTGAGTGGAGATGGGCACTGTGAGAATAAAGTGTTTTGCCCAAGAACAGAACACATTGACCTGGTCAGGTGTCAAACCCAGACCTCTGGACCCAAAGTCCAACACACTGACTATTGGGTCACCCTATCTCCTATATGAATTGTGACCAATTTATTAATGCTAAACATCCCAATATCAGTATGTATATTCTCCATACTGTTTCCTATACATTTACCAAGGTGCTGAGAAGGAGATTTTTCTGAACAATCAAGAGCTCCTGTACTTGTTGATCATTTCCATTATTCTCATGACCTTAATGTTTGATTCAGGGGTGATTCTATAAGGAGAAATTAGATGCTAGTCTCTCTTAGGGTTTAAAGGGTTAACACAAGATCGAAGATTTAGTTTATGTTGATATGACTTTTTTTTTTTCACAGCTTGAGAGGTATAACCAAGGGGGTGACCCAGACTCAGTAGCTGGCGAGTTTGGAATTCATCCACTCTACAAGATGCTAGGTTACTTCAGTCTGATCAGTTTGTTACGACTGCACTCGCTGCTTGGCGATTATTTTCAGGCCTTCAAAGTTCTGGAGAATGTCGAGCTAAACAAGAAGGTAAACTGAAGAGTAAAATAACAGTTGGAAATACTGGAGTGCTTAGATAATAGTCACAGTGGTCAGTTGGAACAAAGGTTGACATCATAAAGGAGAAAGTGAGAACTCAAAATAAAAACCATAACTGAAAAAAGGTTTAGAAAAATAAGAATGACTTAGTTGCAGTCAGTGTTTTGGTTTGGTTGAGGGGCTGTAACAAGTTTTGTACACCAATCACAGGGCGTTAAGCACAATCAAACCAATCCTTCATTCCTTGACACTGAAGTGAAAATTTCTCTAGCTCAAATGCAAAGAGGTTTTTATTTATTATTTTTTTGTTTTTTTCCTAGCCTAGTACAAGAGTTTTTGCACTGCATTTCTATGTAACCTATACATATAGTACAGGGAATAGGTAACATTCACCAGCTGATACATTTGCCATTTCTCATCACCAATTTGTTGGATAATGTCTTGATATTGTAAGGATAATTTAAAAATGTACATCTCTTTCATTTAAAATCATTCACTGTATGATGCACAATTTTTTTTGGAGATTCACGCTATACCAATACATTGTACATCAGTGATATGTATGTTGTCTCCCAACAGAGTCTATACTCAAGAGTTCCAGCTTGCCAGATCACTACCTACTACTATGTTGGGTTTGCATACCTCATGATGAAGAGGTACCAGGTAGGGAAGGTCTATCAGCATAAGGCAGGAATGAATATATGGTTAATAGACTGCTGGAACTATTAGACAGGAAAATACTGGGCCTAAGTTCAAGGCATACTAAAGACAAATATTTTTGGGTCCGGCCCAACCAAAATTAGTTCTTTGACTACATAAGTTTCATTGCTGATTGCAGAACACTTGCTTGTGACCATTTGAATTTAGGCTTAGAACTCAGGATTAACATCATACAGTGTAACAGAAATTCTAATTTTCTCAACCAAGGCCTCTATGATTGTTACCAGAAGATGAACTCTTATCTTTCCTCACGTTAGGTGGTATAATCTCTTTTCCTTCTTGTTTTGGATCATCAGATTGCATATTTTATCCTCATTTGAAGTTGTCAAATTATGAATTTGGCTTGAAGAGAAAAAAAAAAAAGAAAGAACAACATCCAGGAATCCTCCCTCCTGAAGTATAGGGTAGGATATCTTTATGTAACAAGAATTATATAGAACATGATCTGTTTCTATTCTAGGATGCTATTTGCAGTTTCTCCAATATTCTGCTTTACATTCAGAGGACCAATGATATATTCCAAACTATATCCTATCAGAATGAACAGGTGAGAAGTCCCACAAGGGGTCATCAGCTTAAATAGAGTCTATTATTTTCAAAGAAGGTTTCCACAGACACTGATCTCTTTCTGTCAGACATCAAATAAGAGATTGAGTGCATTGATGTTTACTAATTAAACATTGAGGTCAAGAGTTTTTTTTACCCTCATCAAATATAACACAAAGAAATCAAGAGAAAATTATCCAATTGTTTTAGAATAAGTTTTCTAGTCATTCAAAACTTCACAAGTTTGGTTTGCTTTTTAGGCTGCCCACTTTTAACACCATCTATCATTGAATAGATTGCAAGAAGCTATCTGTTCCATGATAGATAGATGGTAGAATTTTTTGTATTTATACCAATGAGCATTACGTTACCAACGTTTCTTAACCATAGATAATGAAGAAGAATGATCAGATGTATGTACTGCTGGCCATCTGTCTGACGTTATATCCACAGGTATGTAGTTCTCATTCTCATGGATCAGTCATTATTTTCTTTCCAGTGGGAGGGGGTTCAGAGGATTTGGGGTGATCACATGGTTTTCACGGGAATTGGTTCCCAACAGATCATTAGGTGGGGTGGGGGGCTAGACAAAATTGAGTGCCAACTAACTGCCAATGAAAGGGGATCATAAGATTAAAGAGCCTCATAGGGAATCAGGTAAAATTTATTGTGATGCAAATGATATCCTCCGAACTCCCCCCCCCCCCACCTCTTGATAAATAATGATCAGTCCCTTTTTCAACCTTAGATGTGGTTGATGTTGTTTCATCTTTTTCACCTTTCCTTGTCAAACTCAAAAAAGCACATGATGAGATTTTGAATAAAAACTGTGTCTTTGTTTCAGCGAATTGATGAACATGTTCACTCACAACTGAGGGAGAAAAATGCAGATAGGTTGCAACAACTTCAGCATGGGTATGTTAAGTGTTTTTTGTTTGTTTGGTTTTTTGGGTCTGTGCCTCTTTGTTGAAAATTCTTCATTTGTGCACTGGAAAAAACTGTGGCTTTGACCTTTCCAAAAGTTTGAGCACACATGAGCATCAACTGTATGTTGTAATTAATTTTTTTCAATTATTTCTTTCATTTTTCTTCCAACAGAAATTTGCAGGCATTTGAGGAGTCATTCTCATATGCTTGTCCTAAGTTTATCTCTCCAGTCCCTCCAAACTTTGACGCACCTCCAGCTAATTTTAACATGGTAAGGACATTTTAGCAATCTTCAAATGGTTTTGCTCAACTTTGCTGTGTGATTGGTTCGGAAAACTTGCGCCTCTTTCTTAACCGATGAGATTCCAAACTAAAACCAAT